TCCATGAAGTTATAAGCTGCATGTGGACCCAAGTGGTCCACTACTGTAACTTCCTTTTACCAGTCCAGAATTTGATGGGAAACAGAAATGGACATCTACTTTCTTAGTAGGTGCTGAGAGAAAAAGAGTATCAGGAGTGAAATTATAAGCTAGGATATAAGTGACTACTAGTAGACAGTAGCTGTTTTGCTTGCCCTCACAACGAACTTCTTCTAGTTCATTAGGCTATAAGTTGCCAGTTTTAAAAAAGGAGCGGGGGTTCATAAGAACTAAAGGAGTTTATCTCCTCACCCATTACAGAAAGGATGGCGGAGAGCACCAAAGTTATGGTCTGGGTTGTTTATGAGGCTGCAAGGTATCAGATGATCATTCCTTGACTGCTGACGTAAAGAGAGCTTAAAACTAGACAGATGATGTTGTGGCAGCTTGCCAGTCATGGTTGGTTTTGATTAACCCATTTTTAAAGATGTAGAGATCCCATTAAATTTACCATTCAGTCAGGAGTACTTCACCTAAATTACTTTTATTTCGCCGGTTGAAGTGATTTAATAGATGATGACAAAGCTGCCACTAAAGTCTATAAATTTAGACCCCTTCTATATTTTTAGGGGAAAATAGTTATTTACAATTAGCTGATGACAGATACTTGACAAGCAAAACTAAGCCAACAGAAGCTATTGATCATTCCAGCCTATATTACAAGAAGCGGTAATGAACTAATTTTGATTAATTAATAAACCCTGATGCAAAGAACGTTGAAGCAGCGCCATTGAAGAAACCTTAAGCAGATCAGAATATTACCAAATGGGGTAAAGAAGTATAATCCATTAATAACTGTGGCCATCAACCCAGTTGTGGGGACTTGACAAAGGGCCCTGAACACCCTGGTTCAGTGATAAACGTTGTGAGATATAACTCACAGATAGGTTGATCAAGTCAAATTGATGCTGAGACTAAAGCAGAAGTCAAATGCAGAATTATCAGGGGTTTGTGAAGCCCCTATATACTATTGCCAATTACCACTCCAAATTTACTATCATTTTTCATTCATTATACACCTTATTTCAACAAAAAATGTTGATACTTTTGTTCACTTTAATAAAAAAAACCTTTTCCACAAAGTCTCACTCTATACTTTTTGTATACATTATATTGATTTAGTGATCTAAAGACCAGTATTTAGTCTTGGATAGCGGTTTAGAAGAATACAGTAGTCATTATTAGATCTGCTCTGGAAAACCAGTAAACTCAATTGCGCAGATACCTTGGAGCCAAGCTTCCAAAGGAGACGTTGGACTGGATTCATTGTGCTAGAAGTTGTCAACTAAAAAGAAGATGTCTGAGAGTGTCAACAATATTTTAGCCCTGGGCGCAAACAGTTTTGTCAAGAAACTAAATGCTACATCTGGGTATTATCAGTAAAGTTTTTCTACAGTGAGGTGAATTTTGTACCTTCAGAAGGTCTCCTTTTATTTAATTTGTGTGGAACTGAACCCCAAGCAGCAAGTCAGCCTCCTGACTTAAGTGAGCTAGGGATGACTAGTTGAATGGCAGGTTTAATCTGCAATGATTAAAGCTGAATGAAAGAATACCGCCAATGTACTTTGGACGTTTTTATCATCCGTTTGAAGTCCCATAATGACAGGGGCACAACTGAACTAGAGATTTTTATTATGTGAATCTATAAGGTTAAGTAAGGAGTGTTATAGATCAAATGCATACCAAAGACCCCATAGTAAGTCTAAAGGCTGCAATGAGGGCAAATGTAGGTTTTATTGGGCCAACCCACGTGGATGGGAGAGGCATGGAGGGCAATGACTCATCTGAGTTTTGCAGCTGTTAGTTATTCTATGATAATAGATCAGAATATACTTAGAACATAAGTTGGATGGAGTGTACTAGATTGGTGTAAGATCTAAAATGTAAGATTAAGGCATAAGGATTGCTCAACATACATGTCATTTGTTGTAGTGATTTTAGAATCTACGTTTTTACAAGTTTGATCATTAGTGGTAAGTGGATGTATTAATGTATCAGAAAATCTGCTTCATTATAACTTATTGCATTTCACAGATAACAGTGTGGATTTCTATATTGACTTAAAATCCTTATAGTATGTTGTGGAAGGAAGATTCCACATTTATTAAAACAAAGAGAAAAGTAGGTTATTGGAAAAAATTTTAAACAAAAATATATTCTACATGCCATAATGAGGGTTGCTGCCTTTATATAATGGAGAAAATAGTATAAGAAAAGAGCTCAAAGCACTTGCCTGGGCGGGGCCCCATGAGAAAAATCTAATTGGTGGGCTTAGAAGAATGTCATAAGTAGGGGAAAATCTGTAGAAGCTTTAGATCATATACACAAATCAAATTTTAAAATCCGCAAATTTAATGAACAATTAATATAGATTGAATCAATTCTTCTCAGATTTGTTCCAATTAGCCGAGGGTTGCAGCCAGTTTTTTATGGATCTGTCTTGACTGGTCAATTAATTAGAACATCTTTGAGCTCAGATTAATTGATCTAGAGGATCAATATACATTACAATAAATTCTAAAAAACTGATCCAGATTTTTAAAAATGTAAGGGACATATTTGGTTTTAGAAGCCTGGTCAGCTTGCCTCAGTTAAATAATGTTAGGTTTGTGAAGGGTTTGGGCAGTTCCTTGCATACTTTTAGCAAACAGCTAGGTATGGAATAAGCCCTATGGTACTACTGGAGTCCCCTGGACTGAATTCCCTTACTAAAGCCTCTTCTAAATTTTTAATAGAACAGAAGAAAAAAGGAGCAAAGAGAAAGGATACTTGCTGGAGGGAAAGTAACCATCACTCATTCACCATTTGAGCTAAATTAGTCATCTGGGATAGAGGATCAAATTTGTGCCTATGACCTCTCTTCCTCCTGTAAGTATACTACTTGCAGTCTATGCAGAGGGGCTTAGTATAAAAAGTTACGGTTTCAGTCTTTTGATAAAAGCCTTAACTTGGTTCAGGCGTTGCACTAGAGCCATCTCAAGAGATTGGTTCTATCCAGAAAATTTAAAGAAGATTGTTGAACATATTCTTATACTCTGAGTACTATAACTTGTAGATGGTGAGATGATTAAATATATAAAGATCTTGACATTCTAGAGTCCAATAGGGTGATCTGCTTTTTGAGCACTGTTATGAGGCGTTGATTGTCATGGATTTAATCATAAAATATTTAAAACAATTTATATTTTATTTTGTAAATAGTCAACAATTTTTGTTGAGGTTTCTGCATAATTTCAACTATCACAACACCTCCTGATGATGCAGTCTTACTAACTGACGGGGAGGTGATGAAGAGAAGTATTTAAGAAAAAGTACTATGTAGGATATCAATCTATTGGCCAACTCAGAATTTAAAAAGAGTAGCTGAAAGGTAAATGCTACAAATATAAGAGATATGTTGCGGCTTGAGAGCAGCTGTATGCCTTAAGTTGGGTATATTCCATCCAAGAGCTGCTGGATGGTAGCACTGATGTTATTGGACAGAAATTAATATTAATCACAATCTAGAATAGGCTTGTTGAACTCAAAGCTGTACCAGAACTTTAACTTCTCACGTTGTATGGGTATAAACACATAATAAGATTTAATAAACAACCGTTGATAATTCTTTTCACATTAGAGAAAGGTGATTAATTGATAGAGTTAATGTCCATTTAATGATTGACTTTTTCACTGTTAACACCTTGGGGCCCCTTATAGTGAACACCAACATTGGCTTCACAGCTATAGTGGAGCCAAAAAGTTGTATGTTTGGTTTCCAAAAATGTCATGTTAATCGATTTTGGCTCCCTTAAGGATGTCTTTTGGTGATGGAATGGCTCCTGAAGGACAATGGAAAAGCGCTTTTGTGTCAAAGGGTCCGTTTATTGGTAACTATCCTAGTTCATGATTTCTAACGCTTTTGTCATGAACATGAAAAGGAACGTAAAAATATATGCTTATTTGGAATCATAAGATAAATTTATAACAATTTTATCAGGTTAAAACTCAATTACTATAAGATGCATGGGAGCCTCTAGGTTAGAGAGCATCTGGGTCCTCCTCAATTAGGACTTCACATCTCATCTAGTATGTGAGCCAAGCAGTGGTCACCTACCTATGTTGACATCTGAAAAGTTGTGCCCCCATTGTTCTGGTGCTTTGGATTGCAACTCTGGGATTTATGTTATAGGTTCACCCAGGTTATCAATTGGTCACACAGTGTCAAATTGTATCTTGTGACAATTCCTGTATTCCTCTTTCAGTTCCTGCCCACTCTGAACCATTAGTTCATAAGCAACAGTTCATTTGTTCCATTTAGGCTCTAATCCAAAGGAAGGCGTCCGCTTTCTCAATACTTCAATATTTAATAGGTTTGGGCCTTACACCATCAGAATTATGAAATTCATCGAATAAACAGTATAAAAATTAACCACTCAGCAGAAATAATAACTATCTTCTTTATAACTTTATTTTTTTATATGTTATATAGTATTTTTATTTATTTATATGCTTATAGTTCTCCCAATTGCATTAGTTACCCTTTTTTATAGCATAATGTGACAATTTTTGTTGGCTTGATTAAGTGATTTATGATAATAATTCAAATTAACACTTGTATATACCTTGATCTTATTTAATAATGATTTCTTATCCACAACAACTAACTAAGGCCTTATTTAGATTTAATTGTATAAAAATTTGAATGCACCTATCAGTTACTTGCTTGCTTTACTCACAGTTCAATTTAGGCTAATTCATTTAATTTATTTATTTATTCGTGGCAAGCCGACCAGGGGACGGACATTACCAAAATAGAGAAAGTATCGATATGAAACCTGAGCAGGGTCAACTCTGTCTTAGAAAGTTTTTTTCACCTCCGGATCGGGACTCGGATTTTTCTAGTTACGTCATGGGTAAGGTTTTCGTGTTATTATACCTACTAACCGCCAATAGCTTCCTTCAGCTGGCACCCCGATCGATGTGCGAAGGGCGGGAATCGAACCCGCAACCTTCAGGTTGGTAGCTGTACGCCCTACCGACTCGCCTTCCACCCCTAGGCTAATTCATTTAATCAGCTAATATAAATATATCAGTAAATTTAAAAGTTATTTGACAAAAACGCAATGATTATATTACAGTGCAATGATAAATAAGAGATTACAGAGAGTTTTAAAAAATACCCAGGTTTAAGACACATATCTTTCTCTTTTTTACCATAAATTAAGGCTTAATTATTTTTTTACTATAAATAATATGGCTTTAGTGTGAGAATGGACCCTCTTCCATCCACTTAAAGTTAGAATTTTAAAGCTCTTTATACCATAGTTTTGTTTGGGCATATCATACACACTTCATTTAGTATATAGATTGGCTGGACATTCAGATATTCATTCATATGTTGATTTCAGATGGGTACCTCTCATTGGTTAGAAATTTATGATCAGACTACTAAAAAGATAAAGACTAATATTAGATGATTACATTTAAATAATATGATCCTCATCATCTATAGGAGACATGCAATTGTGAGTTTAGGTTGGCGGTCAAGGAGAAGCTCATAACCATCTAAAGTCATCAGAGAATTTCTGGAATATATCTAAGTGTGAGAAGAAATGGCTTCCTATCAAGGTGTTTCAGGACCCAGTATATGCACAGAAAGCTAAATGCAAAACTATCCAGTAAACTAAAAATATGAAAAAATGTGGATGAAATGGAGCAAGTTTGGCTCACAAGAGTATCAAGTGTACCCAGAAAAAGCCAAAAGGCTATAATAGGTGCAATCACGTGGCTTGCATGTGTAGCAACCATGTGCATAAAAGATGGAGGAATGAAAGTTCCACATGGATCCTCAGTTGAGTGGAAGTGATTTAATTAACATGGTCATATTATCAGAAGAAAGTATAACATCTATATATTGAACTTTAGTTTGCCATCAAGATTGCTTCAGTGTTGATGGATCAAATTAGCAGATCATTAAAGACATGATAATGTACAGCGTGATTGATAGGATGGCGGTCATTACCTAAACGCTTCTTTGGACAGTGAATCATTGTGAAAGAGCAGCGTTATTTGGGGTAAACAGTGTGAAATTAGTTACTTTAAAGAGCTTTTTATTATAATATATTCACTGAATAAATTAAGGACTAACCCTATTGTGGGCAACCAACTCAATTGAATAAAGTGTGAAATATGGGAATTATGCAGTGATGAACCTGTTAATGAAAGAAGTAACAAATTAGTACCCATTAAGACTACAAGATATTTTAAGTGGCTCATTTGGATCTGGAAAGTACAGTTGTGAGATCTGCCAGATGGTGAGTGATGAGGCCACATAAGTTCAAATATCTCGTGTTATCTAGGGAGTCCTCATATTTTTCATCTTTCAATTGCGTCTGTGTCAGAAATATCAAAGCTACTATTGAGATGTTAAATTTCTCAAAACCAATTTTGAGCTATCATGGGCAATTTAAATGAAAGTTTAGGATTAGGAAGTTTCAAAAGACCCTATTTTGGCCTATCTTTAATATTATTCCCTTCATAAGTGCGCTGGAGGAATGGGAATGTTTGATGGCTTCTGAATCACGAAGATGCTAAATGGTATGCCTTAACCCTGGTGATCTCTTTGCTAATTTTATAGATCTTGCTTAATAAAGTGGGATTAGAAATCATGGGTAGATAACATATTCCTGAGGGTAATGCCATGAATAAGCGTTCATCCAATACATAAGCCAGGTCATTATTCTGAACCAGGGTATAGGCTGGGGCTTTACTCCATCCTTTGTCCTAAAGAGATGAAAGGTTTTTCTCAGGGTGAAGGTTGCCTCTCAGTAATTATTATATTTATATGAGTTTTGATTCTTTATCATCAATGGATGCCTAAACTATCAGTATAAAATTCATTACCTATGAAATATTGAGAATATTTTAGTGTCAAGCGAGATACTATGATCTGATCATGAGGATTCTGGCTCAACTGGTTCGAGTAGAACACAATTTTATAGGACTTAGTAAAGATAATCAATTTTTTAATAAGGTTTGAAAGGCGTTAGCAAATTTATTAATGCTCTCATTAATTGGCGCACTGGTATCAGGAGCATACTCTACTAGTTGCTGTCACACTTTCCTCCAGATTAACAGCTGAAAGGTTTTGAGATTGGCCATTCTTCTTCAGATTAAGCCCAAGGCTGAAAAACTTGCCCCAATTTTTCTGTCATGAAGACGTTTCATTGGCAAAAAATCTAGTGATTCTCCAGCATTTGAAGAAAATTATAACAGTTTATTTAACTGGGGCAAGTTGAACAGGGGATGGAAATTACTGAGCTCCAAGGAGAAAAACTTATACTAGACTAGAATTTACAAACAGAAAGAGACAAACATATCACTCAAACTGAATTGATAAAAATAAAAACTAAAGCGGTCCAACCAGGTCGAATGCAGTGAACTGCTATGCATCCATGGTGGGGGGTGAGTGGTAGTTGGGAGGCTCATCTTTCTCATCTGTGTCAGACAGTGTATGGTAAAGCGCTGAGAGCATGAGTGTGGGTGCATTCTCAAAATGGGAATTGAGGTAGCAGAGTGGCTCTTGCAGCTGAAATTTAGCTATGATGAGAGTGGTAATATATTTGATGGGACTTTCTCAGCCTCAAGGCAAACTTTGGGTAGGGTTGTGAAGGTGGCGATGTTGTTGCTGGTAATGCAGGTCTTGGTGCCAAATTTTGTGACCATTGCAACTTTTTATATTTCTTTTTTGCAACTTGGTGGAATTGGAGGAAATCTTTTAATAAATATGATTCATGGGGGAAGGACAGGGGCGGGTATCCCCTTTGGCCAAAACTGCAACTTATTTTGCTATGGCCTTTCAGAGGGGGTGACAATATGGGGAGGCAACAAACTCTTTGGTGAGTTATTGGTCACTTTGGAATTCATTAGCATCTGAACGTAGAGTATAGTGCTGAGTTGGAAATTAAGCTGCAAAATCTTCATTTAGGTACATTTTGAGGCCTGGGGCCTCAACTGAGTCAGGTATGGGATTTCTAAATCATCAAATTCCTCTAAATAATCCCAAAGATTTTGGTTGAAAATGATAAGTCGATCAGCATATGGTGGGCTGGGATGGGTGGCTGGGTGGGTGGGTTTTTAATTTACTGGGGTCCATTCTGGCTCCTGATAGTTTGAGTGGGAGTGTGGATTTGACATGTAGGTTCCTTATCGGCTGAATCAGTGGCAATTGCATCTAACATTTTGGGTGGAGGGGGAGAGAGGATTGTGCTCCATTCAAAAAAGCTTTTATGTCAGCAATGGGAAAATCATGGGGGAGTTAAGCATGTAGGCTCCAGCTCAGGCTATGATAGGGCAGCGCCGCTTCAGGTGGTCTAGGTCAAAACAAATGGGGCAGATCTTGGGCCCTTTGTCTACTCTGGCCCATAAAGGGTGGTCAGGGGCAGATGTGACAACTGTGCAAGGGGAATCAAAATGGCGATTTTGTTTGATATTGGGCATTAGTTGCAAAGGTTCAAGGACCTGAAAGTAGGTTGGTTCTATCAGGAACCACAAATTGTAGAATGGGGCCAGCAACATATACTGAAAACCCAGCTATTAGTTCGTTATACAAAATCTAAGGGGGAGGTGGGTGGGGAGGCCTGCAAAATGAACCAAAAGATTAGTGTCATCAGGCAACTGGGTGTGAGTCGTTGAGATAAGATCCCTTGAACACCAGGGAAATTTGGCTGCAATTGCAGTATTTTCTTCACAAGTGAAGCCAAGGCAAAGTACTCTTTGTAGAGGTGGAAGTTGATAAAGCCTGTAGGATGCATACACGCAGGGCTAATTCTATGATTTGTTTATCATTTTAGGGAATCTAGTTTTCATATTTAACCTGGAGGCTGAATCAAATCTTGATTTAAGTAGCATAATGTGGCTACAAGGCACCACTTGGGAACGTGCAAGGTGTAGGGTGAAATTCTTTGAAACGTATTGACCTGAGGCATTGAAGGGGCTGATTTACTTAGTTCAAAAGTGTTTTCCCACTGGGCGGAAGATGCTAGGGGGTTTTGCTGCTTCCCCATTTTGAGCAGTAGGCGGTAGGGCTGATGACATTGGGGGTTTTTTGTGTTAGTTTATGGAGATGTTTAGTTCTGCCGTAATTTTTCATTTTCTCAAAAATGATATTGTGCAGAAAGTGAATGCAAATTGAGACAATTATTTCTATAGCATCATATATCAAATCAGTCCTTTCAATGCTTCCTCATCTCTAGCATTAGTAAAATAATTGGCTTCTGCAATCTACATGCAGATTTCTAGAAAAATAAGTGATTACTTTTAGCTATACTCATTGAAATGCAGAATATATACATATTAATTCATAGGATCACTCCTGCGCAGAGTTTTCAAGACCATTAAGAAGGCTTAAAAACAATTTCTGTCTATTAAATTAACATTGTATGTTTTAACTAAATATAAGTTAATTGATAAATAATTTTAACTCATTGAGTGCACGCAATGATTTTGGTTTTTTTATGACTTAGAGACTTTTCAAGAAGGAGCATCTTAAGTTCAGAGTATGACATTTTAAGGGCCTAGCAAAGAGCATGTTTATAGACAAATCTATTAGTAGTGGCAAGTTGTCTTAATGCCAGTCCACCTAAGCTCGCGTAGATGATCAAGTTTTATTTATCTAAAGCATAGAGGCTCAGTGTACCTTGTGCCAATAGTGATAGAATTTAACTTTCAAAAATGGGTTCAGAGGTTTCTTTTATATAAAAGTTGGACTTATCCTTCATGAAGGTTCAGAGGCCCATTTTAATATATAATATTTGGAACTTAACCTTAACAATGGTTTAAGAGGTCCTATAAGAGATATAAATTAACTTGATCTTAAATTGAGGTTCAGAGGTCCCAAAAGAACTTTTTAAGAGTAAAAAGATATAAGATTAACGTCATCTTAATAAGTAAGTGATTACACTATTTTAACTGATAATAAATTTAAAAAAAATTATGAGGTTTTTAATGACATGAGCAACTCCTGTGTGAGGGAATTTAGTAATAAAAATATTAACGAAAACTGAA